CCCTTCAAACATTACTTCCACAGGCCGCTCCATCAGAGGCGTCCCGAGGCGGGGTGACACCCGGTGTGGGTACCGGGTGACATCCCGCAGTGACATCATCGTGCACGTGTGTGATGACGTAGCGCATGGTACCGCTGTTACCTGCCGGCAGCCATCTTGGTGAGAGAGGAGAGGACATCACCCGGCGGGATAAGGAATGCCGCCGGGTCCCCTCCTCTCTCGAGCTGCTGTCGGGCTCCAGGTCCTTGACCGAGTGCCCGAATTTTTTTAGAGGGGGGTGACACCTAAATGACTGTCAGTCATTTTGCTGTCACCCCTCCAATGGTGTCACCTGGGTGCGGGCCGCACCCCCTTGTGACGCCACTGCCCTCCATAACATTACATAGAAGGGGAAGCGGGGTAAGATTTTTAAGCAAGTAAAAATGTAAGCATAAAAGTTTAATTTCTTTTTTTGTAAGTTATGCTATGTGATTGGGAACTTGTAACAAATATAAAGGTGTTATCCTAATTTGGCTACAAAAGTAGCAATACATTTTAAAAATTCTGTGAGATCTTAACCCATGTTGGTGGTTGGTTGTTGGAGTAATAGGCAACTGACCTTCGCACATCTTTTTGCCTGTTTGAAATCGAAACAACTGATTATTAAGTTTGAGTTCAGATTGTTCGAGAAGAATGGGGGCAGCATCACTTTATCATAAGATTCTGTTTAACTGTATGTGTACTGAATGCCACCAGAAATCTCAATTCCTGTCCATGCAAATAGCTCACTGTTTTTCTGGAAGGCTTCCGAGAGCTTGAGGTCAACTTTCAGGCAATCCCTGCTATAATATGAGTTGCATTTTTGGCCAGATACTTTCAAAGATGCCTGACTACTTAAGAGATGCTGGAGCTGTAATTTTTCTTGTTTTGAGGCTTGTTTTTCTTGTTTTAATTTTGAGGCTGATCAGTTTGTTTTCTCAACAAAAGCCCAAGTCCATTCATGAACACTTTTTGTGAATAGAATGGGGAAGGGTTACAACACCTGGTTGGTTTTTGCTTTTGTCTGTGTGTACATGTCCTAGTTCGGCAGAATTAACTCTCACAAGTAGAGTGCTCTTTATGAATATCACATGATCCCATAATGGGAGCTGTACATTAGCATGTACTATACACATTAAAAGAATGTAGAGAAAAAGCACTGCCTCTAGCTAGGTTATGGAATCCCATGTTTTATTAATGAGGTCCTAACAGCCATTTAATGTTCAGCTTTGTGACTCACCTTTCAGAAGTTTACAATGGACTTTCTGGGACAGACTATATGAAGGGTAGAACTGTGGCAATGATGGCAACAATGGTGTTAAAACTCTAATAAAGATAAATTAGCAATTCACAGCATGTGTGAAATTTTACTGGGTAGCAATAAATAACACAATGTAGAAATGAAAGTGTTATGGACTGTGACAGACTACAGATGTCAGCAGAGCTTCACCCCATTCACTAAGTTAAGGGAAAATTCCTTTGGAAAGTGAACAGCCAGTTTGCATTTAGTAAATCAGTCCCTTACACTCATCAACGAATGTCTAACATCCAAAGTCATGAAGTCATTCAGGGACAATGCCGCAACAAACAAATAAAAAATCCTTTTTATGAGCCAAGTATATTAAAAGGCAACACACTTTTTTCATATATATATATATATATAGAGCTTTTTATTTAGCATTTTTAATTTTTTACATCTTGTAAAATATAAAGATAATACATTTATAAATATACAAGTTGCATAATATTTGAATAAATGTATAAACAGGTTATGAGTTAATTTTATAAAAATTATACATATGGAACTTTGAGTATGTAACAATGGTATTTTGAACAGTTTTTGAACCAGCAAAGATACACTATTCACAGAATAATCAGGATAAACAATCTTTTCAGCCTTACACAACTGACAAGATTTACAGCAACAAAAAAAAAAAGATATTGCAACATATCATTTACACTTTACAAATAAAATACATTTCCAGTTTATCCCAGAATGTTACTCCAGTGCAGACTTTCCACCACAGGAAGCCAGGATTTCATAGACAGGTTCTTAAACAGTCTTGCTCTGTTGCCACGTAAGTATTCTCTTTAAAGTCAATCATATAGGTTTCATTTCACCAACTGTACCACTCTGTGGATCCTAGAAGGAGCCCAGGTGTCATATAATAAGTGGTATTGTATAAATGGGCCTGAGTTTAACATTAGTCATAGACATCAGATGATGTATGACCAATCCTAATATAAGCTAGCACCACAGGTCTCTGAGCATGCTCCCACTACAACCTCTATAGGCTTGAGTGGTTAAAGCTTGCATGTTTTTGTACCTGTCTGTAAAAAAAATAAAATCTATACATTTTTAGGTGATCAGATTGTGCCCGTACATCCAAACTCCCTATATTATCATTGGACAGATTTACATTTTATCTTTTAAAAGAGTTGCTTTATTTTTGAGTGGATCATTTTGCAAACAGTCTATTTAACATTATTTAAGCTCTAAGATTTATTCTTTGTATGGCTCTGGACAAAGGCGCAATTTTAGTACTATGTTCGAGATGGAAGATTGAGCAGACTATGTTAGAGATTTCTATCGTGGGCAATAAATCATTAAATCACTTGACCTTTGGATTTCTGAGAATACCCACAAATACACTGTCTAGTTCAATAAAAATGTTACAAATGCTTATACTGTGCCTATAAGTATTGCTGTCTCTGTTTGCTACATGAATTACTCAGTATGTGCTGCCCTTTCTATCAGCTTTCATCATAATTGTAGTTAACAGAAGGAAGGAGACAGAAGAGCAGAGAAAATGTGCATCCATAGCCCCCTAAAGCACACAGGAGTATACAATGTAGGCAGGGGGCACCTTATAGTCATACAGGGTGACTAACAGGCTCGTATAACTAAATACTAGATTATGGCTAAATTCAAATACGAATGCTTTCACTATCTTTACTAACATTCCTGCTGTTTGTGAATTTATTACCAGCAGTTGTTGTAACACTGGCGGTTTCACAACAAACATTACACTAAAAAAATGTGTTCTTTGTTTTAAGATTGCCACTTCTTTATATGTGGAGCAACTCAATTTCAACCTATGTCTTGAGTTTCATTCTATACATTTTCACACAGTTTCTGGCATAAGGATCAACTATTTACAACTTAAACATTACCCCTTATTAATGTACAGTAGTAATAAGTCTTTTCTATAAAAACAATTCTATGTACAGTATAACAAAAAATACAAACCACAATTGTGGGAGGTTTCATTAAAGTGATGATGGCGGTGGTGTCTTTTTACTGTAAGCAAGTCACTGTTCACCTCAACACCAAACTACAACTAGTCTGAACACTGAAATGTATCAATCAAATGGCTGAATTAAGCTGAATGCACTTTTGAAAATTGTTAAATATCAGTTGTATTTTACCAATGAGTATGGACCCACCCAGTGGTGCTTAGCATGTGAGCAGGGCCGATTTTATAAAGAGATTGAGAATATTAACACAAAAAAGTGAAGATTCATTTCAATTATTTATTAATTTGCAGATTAAACAAATGAACAAGAATTCACTTTTTACATGATTGGATAATTGAAGTGAATCTTTACTTTTTTTTTTGTTTGAACAATCTACACTGAAATTAATTATTTTTCATTATACTTGAACCAGATCTTGTTAGGACCATCAGTATTTCAAAACCTCTTTTCCTAAATGTTTAGGGCATGCTCACTTTGTAAAAGGAATTTTCACTTTGCTTAGTGAATGACATAAAGCTAAGTAAAAATTCACTTTTCAAAGAATACCTAATCACATAGAAGAATTTTTTTTTAACAAACAGGATTTCTGCTTCCACATGACTGGATGATGGATGTCAGCACAACTTTACCTTATTCACTAAGCTAAGGAAAAACTCACTTTGCAAAGTAAATATGAATCCTCTATTATTTTAGTAAATCAACCCCAATGAGTGCCTCTAGTGTTTAGAAGTGCTTGTGATTTCCAATCATTAAGAAGTCTGATCCTTGGCCATTTAATCAGCATGGAACCAGGCCGAGCACTTTCCATTGGTCCTTATCTGGTGAATCTGACAGAATCTTTAAACCCGAAGAGAGCAAGGCTCGACAAGATAGACATGCTTTTAACCTATACAGTAAATGTATAGATTTTTGGCCTGGATTTTGGCAGCCCAAGGATGTGGCTCAACTATCCTGATTTTTAGTTGTTGTGAAATTGGCTAATGAAGGTATGCACATAATTAAGGAAAGGAACATTTTTAGCATACTGCACTATGAAATGCAAAATGGCTTTTACTGAATTTTAATGATAAACATTATTGCTTTTTTTTTTTGCTTAGATGTTACAATAAAGTACATCATTACTGATTACTAGCATTACCAAAACTAGTGTTTTTAAAAAAATGTATATTAATTTGCAGTGGCAAAATATTGCAACAGGTATATAGATATATTTATTATAGTGAAAGTGCATCCTGTGATAAAAATAGAGTGGATGCAGCTATGCATGAAAAAGGCTTTGGATCCCTTTTTGATGGTACAAAATGGCCTCCATGCCTCTCAGTACAAATCAAATAATGAATTAAATGTACAGTAACTATTTGTTAAGCCACACACCTATCTTCTTTTTTACATTTTGATGTGCAATTTCCCAAGATAAATCACTTTTGTTTGTTGTTTATAACTATTTTTTAAATTACTTGTTATTACTGACAATAGTTCAATTACATGATATTTGTGTTTCTCCTAAAACAGGGGCTATAGGTAATAAATAGTAAGACTTTTATAGGAGCACACAGATAGCAATTTAGATGTAATATGAAGATATATTTTTTCAACAGGCCAATATTATTTTACATAACATTATCTGTGTCGTCACTAACCTCATTACATACATTCTACAGACCTACATAATACAATCAAACCTTCCTGTACATTCTATATCTGTCTTTTATTCTTTTTTTCTATCTGTTTACCACCCGAATCTTCACATATCATCATCTTTCCTAAAGAAAGGAAAAACAATAAATTAATACACATATTTTTTTTACATGTACATTATAAATAATAAACCTATTTTAAAAAATGTGCTATCTGCTGATTTCACTTACAGAGTTACATTGTAGACTATAGTGTAAATAATAGTCCTCTTGGTCTATGATGAGATTTCTATAGCACAGTGGTTGCCAACCTACAAGGTATAGGGGGTCTCAACTGTGGTCCCTCACATTGCCAAAGGGCTGTACAAAATGTTCAGTATAGATAATGCTAGAGAGGACTGTGAGAGCCTTCAGACATACTAGAGAAAATGATAGTCAGAGACTGGTGCTACGTTACTGGTGTGGTTGGAGACAGGAGAATTGCTGAAGAAGACACTGGGAGACTGGGGACATGTTACTGGTGTAGTTAGAGACAGGAGACCTGGTGAAAAAGATACTGGGAGACCGGGGACATGTAACTGGTGTGGTTAGAGACAGGAGACCTGGTGAAGAAGACACTGGGAGACTGGAGACATGTTATTGGTGTGGTTAGAGACAGAATACCTGCTTAAGAAGGCACTGGGAGACTCATGACTTGATATATGAGTCTAGAAGAGATCACTGCTCTTACTCATTTACAAATCAATGCTTCCACTGAAGACTGCCTGGTCTCAGGGGCACACAACAAGTGTCACAGGTTGGGTACCAGGGTAATCGCATGACCAATTATTTTATTTACTTCTGAATGATTACTTATAACTAGGATTTATTTTTCTCTTTCATGGATAGTTACCCTAATTCTTCATAACCAATGACATGGTCATTTTACTCATTTTAGGTATTGTTCTTAGTTTTTTTCATCAGGTTTTGCCACTTTATACCTGGCTGGACTACAATCTCTGCTTTGGAGTATTTGTATTGGTTATGACTGTCTATGGATCCATAATGTATATTTGTGAAATCTGTATGTAGGCAAGTGTAAATGGTGTACAAAAAACGAATACCATAGTCGTAAAATTGCTAGGCCATGGACAAGCCTGGCAGTGTACCTGTATATGGGGTAGGCATATTAGTAGGCATATTAGTTTTAGGGCTAATGGGGAGGGCGTTGAGTATGTAGGCCAATATTTTAGCCAAACATAAACTTACATGTAAAGTAGAACGATGGGGGTCAGTGTTTTTCCCCATAGTTTTCCTTAGGGTAACGGGAGGACACAAACTAGCGTCCTCCCGTTACCCTAAGGTCAGTATACCGCGAGCTACAGCTCGCGGTATACTGAGACGCCGCAGCCGGAGCGGATACCGACTTAGACGATGGGATCCGCCCAGCTGCGTGAGTGACAGCTGGCTCTGCCTATCTAGAGGCAGAGCCAGCTGTACCTGCCCCCTCCCCTGTCCGTTCCGCCAGTCAGAGCTGGCAGATCGGAGCGGGGAGAGGGCTAATCCAGCCCCTCCCCCTGTCACGGCAGAGAGCCATGACAGGATCGAGAGGCGAGCGAACCCGGTATGTGTTCGCTCACCTCCCGATCTACTGAGCCGACCTGTGACAGTCTCATTGTCACAGGTCGGCTAGAACTATGAGGTGAGTGAAAAGCACTCCCCTCACAGTTCTCCTTTTAAGGCTTTTTTTATATATTTATTTATTTAATAAGGTGTTTTTATGACACGTTTTTCATGACACCGGTTGACACAATTTGTAACACATTATAACCTTTTACACAAACATTTAATATATATACATTTTTTCATGATTGTTTGACACGGAGGTATTATCACTTTGATCCTTACCGTTATCGAATTTCCTGAAGGGCATCTAGCGCTGTACACTTCGTTACATCATAATTCTGGGGGCTTTTAGCCTGAGTTCAGCAGCTTTTTTCCTACCCTTTGGTTTTAGAACTATTATGTAATTTTAGCTCCAGGGTCATATTAATATTAATTTGAAATCGTAATCCATCTCTACCCACCTTTATTATTTCCATTAGCGCAAGTTAGTTTTGGCTTACTTTTTTTTTGATAATTGATCTTTTCTTACCAATGTGTTCCTTCATCCCATCTCCTTTCTGTACTGAACAATTGCCTTTCAACTAATTTAATCCTTGCAATACTTTTCAAGTTAGTACATTAACAACTACTATACTGAAAATAAAAGTTTACCTGTTTAAGCCATACAAACTGGACCATGGATTTTCTCTGTTTACATTCTGTCCAAAGACGATCATCGAATTTCTGTCTCTTTTTTTAATGTCATTTTGCACAATATCCGGCCTATGGAAACAAGGAGCAAGATTATAGCACTGTAGCAGTATAAGCATTCTGTAGTATCCGAATTTATAAGTGTAAAGGTTCCCTCAACTGGAAACAAAGAATTAGGATAGCATACAAGATTGTCAACATTTTGTAGGAAAAAAAATTGTGGGAAGTCGTTATACATTGAGTAAGTTATCAACAAAGTCGAGTTTTATTGGGTGATTTATATGGTAAAAATGAAAAGCAACTTTATGAATAGGAAAAATAGCAATGTTGACATTTTAAGTATAAGTCCAATATTATTTTGGGGTTTTTGCAGACATCCTAGATGCTAAAACTGACTGCCTTATGAGTGGACTGCACCGGGGCTTACCAGCAGTGGATTGGGTACTGGGGCAATGAATATAATGAAGACTGAGCTCCAGAAAACAGCTAAATACATGGATGAAATACATATCAGGGAGCTGTTTTACCTGGCAAAGGATTTGTATTTTTGTCCTTTTTAGTCCTGACATTTACACAGCTCTGTCTCACAGCACAGAGCAACACACCTGATTTTAATCTTTTGCAGTTTTGTAAAACTTACAGAATCTAGAGCATTTGCCCATAGTAACCAATTAGCTTTTATTTTCATTTGTTCAGTTAAGCTTTGAAAATTAAACATAGAAGCTGATTGGTTAAAACTGCTTCAGCTGTTGTCTGCTCCAGTTCCTGTCTTTAATATCTGCCTAGAATTCAGCTTTAAGGTGGATTCTAAAAGCTATTGCCTGCATAAGCTTTCATCAAAGACAGATAAGATAAATAAATCAATACACCATATTTCTTTGAAAAGCTTGCCAGTAAGGAAACAATTTTGTTTAGCTGAAGGTAAAGCAATAAAACATTATGAGACAGAGCTATAAAAGTATTTTTCTGTCAAGTGTGAGTTAACTAAGTGAGGTCAAAGGAACAGTTAAGGTCTTAAAAAGGCATGTTTAAACAAAAACATAAGGAAGTGCGCTGGACATGCTTCTGTCTGGGATTTCTTTAACACAGAACAATGGAAGGAAATTCAGATGTTTCTTCCAGCTGTAAATGTGACATTATGGATGTGCTTGGAGAAATATAGACTATTTCCTCAAGCAAAATGTACAAAATTTAATTTATACGGCTCTCACTATTTCTGTCTGTTAAGTGATGCTAGGTCCATAATATCACACCCTTCCAAGTATAAAGTAAAACTAAATTATAACTGGTGTTTGAGGACTACCCTGGTTAGTATGATTGCAATTTTTTTACTGTTAAAGTAAGACCTAAAAGTTTTTATAATTTAAAAAAAAGTAATGTAAAGTCAAGCTTTCTTTCATACTATATAAAAAAAAACTACTACACAAATGATGGTTTGCAAAGAGTGATAAAATATTAATTTTTTGCTTCAGCCACCAATTCTTTTTGCTTGGCATTCTCTGTGCCAAACTGATGGGGTTGGCAACCCTGTCACAGCCTTCCCTTAGAGTCACACAATGGATCATCCATCCTTTAGTGGAATAAGTGACTGGTTTTCATTTCAGCGAGTGCAGAAGCCTTTGTAGGCCAGCTGGCTGAAGGGAGAATGTCTGGGGTGAAACTAATGTTTAGTTTAACTACTTAGTCTATAGGTATACACAGTCTGACTTCCTACAGACACTATCATCACCCAGTGGGACTATTAACACAAAGATCTGACTTAGAAACAACGTTGGTGATAATGCCAGAACGTTGATGAATCAAACGTTGATAGATGCTGCTTATATCAAGGAGAAAACCTGCCTAATTAACTCTTCCTCCCAACCGCAGTCTTCCACTTGGATTGGAGGTCTCCCATAACCTCCACATAGTCACCCAATCTAGCAGAAATGGTAAACAAGTGTCATATGATATCTTAACTTTAAATTTCTCAACCTTTTTATCTAAAATGTTTCCTGTGCCTTATGATCCTAATAAAGGCCACCTTCACAAGTACATAAAAGTGAAAATGAGATAAATAATACAACAAACAATGACTAACAAGGGAGTGCTGTGATGATTAAATGCTTATGTAAATAAACAAAGGAATTGGTCCTTCTTTCCTCCCTGTTAAGTAAAATAACTGAAAAATCATGAGACTTCCTTGAAACAGCAACAGCAGATAGGCTGACCTGGAACCTTAATGTAAACTTATGGTCAAGTGTTAATAGGTAAAATAGCATTATTTTCTTAATGTGCATTAAAATACCTTTTAGACAATGCTTCACTAATCTTAAGTAAATAGCATTTTCTAGTAGGTTGCTATCTGACTCGGCTCTTACCCTTCAGCCACTCACAGAATCCAATATGGCAGTACCAGGGTACAGTTACTGAGGTTTGAAATGTGTTTTGTAAGGTATGCATTATGTACATAGATGCCTAATGGTGGTCTCTGAGTTCCATTACTAGCTACAGGTTTGCTTTAAGTGGATCTTAAGAGTCAGAGGACAGCTGGAGGTGAAGGCATAATCTTCCTGTCTTCCGGAAAAATGTTCGGCCAGGTAGTGATTAACAAAAATACTTGGCTCAGCCATAAATTCAGAAAAGTGCAGCATAGAAATAGAAAGGTAGGGAAAAGGTCATCATTTTAAAATGACGGTAATAATTCAGGTTACCTGTAGAGTTGAGGGCAGGATCTCTTCAATGATGCGGACGATAATCCTAATTTGTTCTGGTTCTTTTTGGTCTTCTTAAGAAGATCTCGGACACGTCCCCATGGATGGAGATCCAGCTAAAGATTAGAGGCAGATGTTAGTTTTCTAACCACTTCAGGATTGCCCTGTAGTTTGTACTTGTAATGTTGTATGTATCAGAGTACACAGTAACTGATGACATGACTTTGGAGATTACATAGTACAACAGTATCACATCATGTTCTTTACACATAATAATATTTTGTTTCACATGGTGCAGTGTAAATTATATTCTGCCTTTAGTTCAGACCTGACCCGCTATAATACTTATCCACGGTGAACAGGCTAATCCTGCCAGAGAATTTGTGCTGAGTTTAAAAACAAATACTGCAGGTTTAGGCATGTTGTGACATAATGGAGGAATGTCTGAACTTGCAGTAGGGAAAGAGACACATTCCTTCTATCAGAAATCATGGTTGACATCCCTTGTGCTTTCTTTTCATTAAAGTTCTTTAATTTTATTCAAGGGTCAGCCCACACAAAACTGATATTTCAGTGTTTGGTAGATACTGGGGAATTAAAAACATGACAGTTTCTTATATCTCTCTACTGGTGAGATCTTTGTAATTGAGTTTCTGGGTTTGCACACCTGCTATGCCAATTAAAAGGTTTCCATTCTCTGCTGAAATTGGTATTTTATATTATAGAGAATGCAACAGGAGGCACAGAAGATGGGCGGAATCACCCGAAACTCATAGGTGAGCAAGAGTACCTATGGAAGGCCGCGTTTGCTGTTGGAGTATTTAATCTATATAAGAAACCAGGGGCTTATTCAGAACAATAAGCAAAACCAATATCTAAAATATCACTTTTGGGTGGTCTGACACTTCAGATAAGCTTGCATACAGAACAGACTTACTGTTCTTCTACTGGAAAGGCAATCCTGTCTCTAGACTAACTATATCCTGGGCAGGGCCCTCCTAACCATTTTGTTTTTAATTGTATTGTAACTGTTATATCTTCCTTATATTGTGAACAGTTGTGCAAGCTGTTGGTGCTATATAAATCCTGTATAACAGCGGCCGCCAACTGATGGTCCGCGAGAAAATTTTGGTGGTCCCCCGGGCCCCTCTGATGCCGTGCAGGCTGGGCCATCATTGAAGCGGCACAGAGGCTCCTGGGCTGCCTCTCACTGACTCAAGCAGCGGCTGTCACAAGGAATGCGCGGCTCTCGGTACAGTGTGAGTTCTGCAGGAGGCTGGGCATCTCCCCAGTACCCAGGCGGAGCAGGCTACGGGACATAGAAAAAGTGGGGAGAAGCCAGGTAATAGTGGCTCAGTGTGGGGGAAGGGGAGGCACGGGGGTGGTTGGGGGATGCGGATTTCAAATTATGAATTTAGTGGTCCATGAGGTCCGAAAGGTTGGCGACCGCTGCTGTATAATAATAATAATAATACTACAGACTGCCTGTTTTCTTTAGTGGAAGAATTGCTGAGGGGGAACATGCACTGAGTAGGAGTAAAGTAGTACAAGTGCAACAGGCAATGAGTGCCAGCAAATCTATAGTGATATTGCAGGTTCTATTGTGAAAAGCTATCAAAGCCCAAAGATGATGATGATGATGATGATTATTTTGGGGTTTCAAAATGACAAAAAAGTGCAAATCCATTGTAGTTTTTACACGCTTGGCAGGTTCCCCATTACACAGCTATATGGCGTCTTAGTAAATTCCTCCCTCTGTTTTCCCATGACTTACAGTTTTCCTAGCTGGATGCCCTTTATACTTCTCTGTAAAATAATACATTATCTAAATATAAATGGAAACTTTGTTCTTTTTCTCTTATTTTATTATAAAACCAGAAGGGATAATACAGCTGGTTGCCTCCGGCAACTTGCTCCTTTATACTGTTTTTGATAAAAAAGAGCCTGTTTTTATAACTACTGAATTGTGCACCGGCTGAGCAAAGAGTGCTGGGATGTGACAAAGTCGGCAGTGTTAGCCTTACAGAATTTCCGGCATGCCCATAATTCATTGCAACTTATGCTCATACAGATTTTCCAGCACGCCTATAAATCATTGCAACTGATTAAGGTATTTTATCAAGAGATAAGGTAAAAAAGAAAACCCTTTCAGTATGCATTAGTTACAAAAGAACAAATCAGTAGATAAAGATGAGATGGGTTTAGGTGCTGAGTAGTTGTTAGAAGAATGGGCACATAGATCACTTTTAGTTGAAACTGATGAGGGATCTGTTTGTGTATGTCTATCTTAATTAACAGTCAGCAGACATTGTTGTAGGGATCAGGGAGTCTGCATTTGTTGGGTGGCATTTGTCAAACTGCAATTTTTCTTTCAGTAGCTGCTGGCTGTAGACCCCATGTGGACAGATCTTATTTGGAACAGCAAGATTTCTGCTGACAGTTTGTTCTTTTTTTTTTCTTTTAGGATAGCAGGTCAAGTCCTGATAGAAGGCCTTATTCAATGAGTTGCTTAAATTTGCGAATATCTGGTAGTCATATGGTGTAGATCTTAAAGTGTGAGAATTAAAACTTCATAAGAACCTTTCAGGGGATATACTCAAAACATCAGCTGCATACACATCCCAGTCCCAGAATGCTATTGGACCCATTTGGGAAAAGTCACTTCAAAGACTATTTTTCCAGCTGTGTGTTGTTTTATCTAAAAATACAGTTCCAGATGTCTCACTGTGCTGAATTAATTTTTTCTTTGCATGATTTTATCTTATTTTGTAAATCTTAGAATAAATGAGTGTGTTAGGGTTTCCCTAAATAGACCGATATTTGGAAGAATTGCTTTTAATGACTGGACCATGTAGGGGTTAACTTCACCACTTGCAGGCATTAGAGAGGAGAAGATTAGTGTGGGTCCCAACAGGCCAGCAACTTGAGACTTTACATTTGTCGCCACTCAGTGTTCTCAGTTAGAGATTTGAGTGTCTATGGCTAGCCTTACAAGATCAATATTTAAGGTGTTAATACTGCATATGCAAATAATATTAAAAATAAACTTTCCAACAGACTATGGGCCCAAACGCTCCGCCTGTTGAGATCCCTTTTTCATACCAATATAGTCAGGGACCCCTGGTTTGCCCTCTTGCACCTTAAACCCCCGAACCTTACTAAGACCCAACACAAACTAGCAACTTTTGTTCTTCTGGCCGCTAAGCAAACCATAGCGCAAGCATGGAGGACTCAATCGGCCCCTTTTCTGGGAGTTAGACATGGACTTGACTCCTTTTTTTTTAACGAAAAGATTGTCTAGCATTCTCTTAAACTTCCAGAAGAACCTTATGAAGGTTTGGGACCCTTGGATTACTTATGCTCAGCCCGACATACATCCTGACAGCATAACAGCCATTTAAACGCTTTGCTTCATCCGGGCAGTCCAACTGCTACCAAATCCTAACTCTCACCCTTTACCTTCCCTACCCCTACTTTCTCCTCCATTCTTGTTTACCTATCTACCCTTTGAACTCATGTTGTACCGAGTTAGTGGAATTTGTCTGACAACTCTAATAACACACGGTATACATTTTTTCTTCTGTATAATGTATGATGTTACTTATGCAACTTCTAAGGAATGCATATGTCTTATTGTATAAACTTATTACAAAATTTTGCTAGGGAAAAAAAAGAAAAAAAAGGTGTAAAAACTTTCTTATCAGAATAGTTTTTATGAAAATTGAGATATAAAAATACTTTTCTATAACTTCGAGTAACCATAATGTAACCTAATAAAGATCAAGATCTAGAAAAACATCTACGTTTAGATGTAAACACATGTGATCCATTAAACCATCCCTTGAACACCCCAAACTTGGTTGGTGTTTCTGTTTATTCATTGGTCCAGATATATCTTACGATATAACAGTATGGCCCTGAATCAAGCCAGTGGTCTGAAAATGAAGACTGTGCAGGACCCCTGTCTTTTCCCTCTAAACCAGATAATGTCTTCAAGTACTGGCAGTGCCTGGAACAGTGTGTGTGTGTGTATAGTAGATGCTGCCCATTGTCCATGCTATTCATAAATAAAGGAAGTACAGACTGAGTGCATGTCTGGGGGATCTTACTATGGATCCAGAATGAAGCTTGTTTCTCCATTAGGACACATACTTGTAAGTCAACACCATAAAATCTGTGTAGATGAATAAAAAAAAGTACCTTTTTCATATCTTGTTCCAGTGGTGTGAAGGCTTCATTGAAATTCCTGTCCCAGCCCAGCTTACTTTCTTTGTCTTCACATTTTAGTTTAGTGAAAGGCTTCCTGACTCCCAGTATGTTAGGACTTCTCCAGCCATCCATCTGGACATTGTTTCCTACAGCAGTACACAAAGAATACAATGGTAGGACACAGTATAATGTTGTACTTTCCGTTCTTCTTTTTACATATATCAAGGTCTACACATGAAGCTGCAGGTTTAGTAACCAGAAAAATTATACTGATTTTACATAATTAGCATATACCTAAAGGCGATTTCTGATGTATAGAGTAAGGTTTAATAAGCAATAGCATTCTTCCAGCATATACGTTTAAGTTTTGAGTAGACACCCATGTACTTGTAGTTGTTGGATCTTCTGTTACCATAGAGGAAATATTTGTTTTTGTATGGCCAATTTTATGGAAGTAGTTAAAGAAGGCCTATAAGTGGTTATGATTGTGCACGTAAGTGGTGTTAGAATCATCCTAAACAAATAAATCCTCAGAATTTAAATGAATTAGCCAGCATTTGCTGACTGTAACACAGTTAAGAGTTTATTACTATTGTTCAGCTAAAATCTATCAGGGTGTGTTAAAGCAGACAAACTGATAAGAAACCAACCTTTGTAGCCAAACTTTTCATAGTTAATGCCAATTTCTGGGATCATGGAGAGGTCAGATTGGTTTCCACTTTGTACAAACATACTATGCGGCCGGTTCCTCCTCGCAGGAAAATGCTTCTTAGTCTCCTGGTACGGGCTGAGCAAAATATTCGCTGCTCCACAGGAGCAGTGCTGTCCAAAGTACTCCTACACCAAGGAGAAAGGAGGCATGTGAGCTGTTACATCTCAGTCCTTCCAGTCAGGGTTGTGATATCATGCTCACATAACTAGCATTCCTAAACTAAGCCCCTTCTAATGGAATTCCTGGATCTTCTACATCACCAATTTCTTTATTCCCTTCTGGGAAGGCAGGCAGGCTGATTGATGATTTGACAGTGTGTATATGTTAACATACATTTATGAAGCTAAGGTATGTTTATGTGGAAGCTTATCTGGATTCTATGCAATCTGCTCTTTAGCTCCTGCCAGTAATCTAAGCAATTCATGTGATAAATAATAGTATACACACATGCTGGGCTTTCCACAGTGGCAGGTACATAGGAAGGTTGGCAGTGTGAGGGGGCAAATGCAGGCCACAGGTGTAAATGCAGACTTCAGTCACAGACAGTGGGATCTGCAGTGACAAATGCAGTGTATTTTATAGCTGCCTGCTACCCATTTAAATGTGCAATCACAGCACCTTGCAGGGAGAAGTCTTCCAGCAGCTGCTTTTTTTGTGGCTCTAGGAAGTCATGCTGAAGGCTGCATAGGAAGCTTACTGCTGGAACAGGTGAAAAGGGTGTTACCATGAACTATGTCTCTTTAGGAACACTCACTTTTTACCATGCATTTCAACCACTGCAGTACATTGGCACACTTTGCATGGCATACTGTGTTATGTCCCTACCATTAAAGGGCATTAAAGGGCATTAAAGGGCCCCAGTTGCGTTGGCACCCAGGCCAAAGGTTCCCAGTCCTCCCCTGAAATGAATGCTGCCATTCTGTGACTCCTGGACTGAATTTCTAGGCCATTTTTCTAGGCCAGTACAGACAACTCTACTGTATTTAAATTAACTGAGAATGTCCTCATTAAAATCTCAGATAGACTTCTCACACAGGTATTTTGGTTTGTGAAAGGTTCCCTTTGGTTAATCCAAGTCATTTATTCTTATTTATTTTTGATTAATTTTTTCCATGTTGTGTGAATAATTATTAAGGTGTTGACGGTTCTCTTACCTCTTTCATCTGTTTCATTCTATCTTCCTTTTGTAACACAAAGATTTGTTTTTGCAGCTTCAGATTATGCTCTTGAAGCTGGCCAATTTTTTCTATAAGCTGGCAGATATGTTCCAAGTATCCGAGGCCTGACCCCAGTGCCTTTGAGGCTCCCTGGTTTACCTGTAAGAAAATTAAGAATTAACAAATTATGAGGCACACTTTATGTGTCCACAGTATTTGCAACAAGGTACCATCATATGGTTTGACAGTATGGGGCTGATTTAGAAATCTTTAGCTCAGCACTAGATGGAGCTGATGAGCATAGCAATTTCCTATATATTCTACACTGAGTGGCCAGATTATTATGACCACCCCATCAGTACTGCGTTGGGCCATGAGATAACTCCACGAGATGACTTCGTTGGGGCGCCTCGTGACTCCACGAGATGTTCAAAGGTGATGCGAGGAATCTGACACTGCAATGTTGCCCTTCTGTTGTCTTGTACCAGTCTTGCCACTCTCTGTTCTCCCCTAACATTGACTAGTCGCTGACGGCCACAATTCGCACGTTCAGACCCAGATTTTCAGCTGACAGTCCAGTCTTTAAACACTTTAACAACAGCTGCTCTTGAACATTTAACGAATTCTGCTGTTTTGCTGATACTCGCTCCAACAATAATCCCACGTTCAAAGGCTGTTAAATCGCGTTGTTTACTCATGTCTTCAGAAAAATATCACTTCTACTGTCGTGCTAAACAACCTTCTTCCCTATTTATAACGGTCTGGCCCTCTTCAGCACAAAATTATAGCTAATTATAGCTAATTTGCCTACAAACGTCAGGTGGTCATATTAATCTGGCCACTCAGTGTATATGGTGGGCGGAAAATTTATAAATCAGCCTGTCTGTTCAAACACAGCAGTGTCAAAATTAGTATTGAAGACTTTGCGTTATGCTTTTATATGTTAATAGAGTGTATTTCTAAACCGTGGTCAGCATTGTATAAAAAATGGACCAAAAATGAGCTTTTATGAGTTTTCAATTTGTATGCATTTCTAAACACTATTGCATTTTACTAAGCCTAAAAATATATTACCTAATTTAAAAGCAGTAAGCAAACTTCACATCATTCTTGAGCTATTCAGAAGCAAATCTATTTTTGTGTTCACACTACTGAAAATGACAAAGGTGTTTCTGAAAGTTAAAAGGAAGGGATCACTGCATTTAACCAGATAAAACGTGTTACAAGGTTACATCAACAAAAGATGTGTAATGATGCATGGCACAGCCAACCTAATGATAGAGTGTTGGGAACAGGCGAGGTTAACCTTTGTGTTGAAGGGTCAAACGCACCACTTGTTGTTACCTTTGACCTCTGTGCTGCTTCACACTGCGATCCCCAGCTAGGGAGATATTCCTAGGCAGTGCCTAGGCAATTTATCTGTAGTCTTAGTCCATCATTTCTATGGAAATGTTCCCGGCAATAGAGATAACCCTGGATGCGGGTAACTGGTTTATCCTACTCTAAGTGGATCTGTCAACAGGAATTAACTTTGCCAGTTAATAGGAACATAAAAACAGACCAAGAACACAAATGGCTGTGTCATAAAATATTGGAATGTAGAAAAGGAGAAATGCCATCCTAGTGGCATCTCTCACAGACTAAAAAAATTATACCAAAATAGCTATAAGACTAGCTGATGTGACTGATTGCATTAATACCGGAAACAAAGCCAAAAACGCAAGTCAATGAAGGTACATTGACTTGAGTTTGCATTGTCTGTTCACATCTGTTGCATTGCGTTACGTTGCGTGTTTTGGAAAAAGTTTTTTTTTCTTACGGTTTGATTTTTACACCAAGCTATATAAGGTATTGTCCCTTCAATTGACATGTGTAAGTGGCTCACACCAGTCTGTTGTGTTGTGCTGAAAAAAGTAGAACCTGCTCTAATTTTTTTCAACGGACAGCAGCGCAACCCAACAGACTGGTGTGAACTGCTCCCATTAACACCCATTCATTTTCAGATGTCATTGCAATGGCGTTCATTGAAAAATGGGGTGTGTGAATGGGGCCATAGAGTTTCTACAAATAGTTACAGACCCCATCAGTTTTCATTCTACAGCAACCCCTGGGGCACAATAAAGGTTTGCAAGTGGATTGTGGATACCACTAGCCAATGCAGACGGTCCAAGAGCATATACGCCAAGAAGTTGTGAATGCCAAAAGTGTTGAGAAATTAAACATTTTTAAAAGTGAGTATTAGTTGATTTCTCCTTAAAGGGAATCACCTAAAGTGTTAAAATGTTCTATATATACCAAGCACATTATAGTAAGAAATATTGGCACTCAGTAATGCTAATCATAAGACAATTAACCTTCCTGGCGGTATGATGTTTAAATTTTTTTCCTTTTTTCGTTCTATTTTTTGTTTTTTACTTCTGAATCTCCCGCCGGTTCCGCCTCCCTGGGACGCAGACGTTCGCAAGGGACGGAACCCGGAAGACAAATGCCAGCATCGGCCGGAGGGTTTACATACACTTTAAAGTGACATTAAACCCTCAGATTTTTCAACATAAAACAATACTGTAATGTGTGCCTTACTGTAATCCATGATAGTTTCCTTTCTCTTTGCTGCTCTTCCTTTTAAATCTGTATCTGTTCTCATGCTCTGCAGAACTTCTGTTTTGCAGCAGACTGCCTTGTCTCTGGAATGGCTACATTGTGTCTGTGTGTTGGTTTGTATAGGCTTGTAACCTGAGCCAGCACTACAGGAAGAGGCCCTGAGCTGAAAAGGGAAGTTCTCCCCAAGCATGAGAAGACATGAGGATTTAAAAGGAAGAGCAGCAAAGAGAAGGGAAACCACCATGGATTACAGTAAGGCGCACATTACAGTATTGGTTTATGTTAAAAAATCTGAGGGTTTAATGCCACTTTAACTGAACAATTTCTTCTTGTGTTAACAAAGCGCCAAATCTTCCCCCTGTTCCTGGCCATATTCAGGTCTTCTGAGGCTCCCAACGAGTCTATCTTCGGGTCTACCCACCTTGAGGAATTTGTACGTGCGATTTTCAATGATGCCTTTTATCAAACAATAAGTGGTCTATTCACGAAGCTGCCGAGGGCAGCCGAGTGAATGACCGATCTGAAGTGAAGTGAGCCAAACACTGTTCGGCTATTCACTTCAGGCTGGTACGGCTAATTTCAGCCGTACATCGGCTTACTCCTGTGTAAGGAGTTCGACTCAGCCGATCCAACATTTGGATCGGCTGAGCCAAACCTCCGGCAGGCTTCTCACTGCTGTTCGGGCTATTCTTAAAGATCCCGAACAGCAGTGAGTATAAATGACCACACTATGACATTGTGCTTTGTGTTTTATTGTTCTTGCAGAGTGCACTGCCTTTCTGTGGAACTTCATAGCCTACACCAGAAATTACACAGCTTTTTTCTACCAAACGCATACTCGTTCTTTCCTTGCTACCAATGTCATCACTTTATAAAAATAACCGGCCTGATTTGTGGAAACAAGCTTTGCTCATTCTCTTTACACTCTTCACCTCCCTCTACAAAAGCAGGAAGTGAACTCAAAGCGTTCTCATAACAAGCACAGAATTAGGGAAATGCCAAACCAATGACTTTCCGTTTTGTCCATTATGAGTGGACCAGGGAGAAGATCAAATGTTCAGTAACAATATCACCCAAGGCACCCGATGACTGCACAGGATTTACAGAAATGCTTCACCTGGGTGAAGTTACACCAGTTCCGTTCTGGATTATTAGGAATGTATAAAATAATGTTCTAAATTTGTTGCAAGCACAATGGAAGTATTTACTTCCATAATTGGCAAGTTCTGGAGAATAGCTCATCTCCATTGTCTTTTTTTTCTTTTCCAAGAATAATTACTTATTTATTTTCTACAAGAACAACTTACAGCACATTGCTAAATTCATATTATAGATAAAAAATTCAGTACAATTCATTCACATATCACAAAAATACTTCCAAACTCAACATCCGTAACCCACTCATCCCCACTCCCCATAAAAATATTAAAAACCAAGCAAAAAAAAACTGAAGAAAACCCCACACCGGCAAGCTTTAACACGGCTCTGTTATTGTTTGTTTTTCTGGGTCTGGATGTATAGATCTTCTATCATTGCTTTTAATTCCTATAGAAGTTTCTTTATCTCTGGGGATCCAATATACTCCCTCCAGGGTCTCCATCTATCCACAAACATCTGATACCTATCATAGAGACGGGCAGTAAGCTCCTCCAGGCGCATGACACTATTTAGCTCATCCACCCACTCCCATATCTGTGGGGTATTAGATGTCCTCCAGTGTCTGGGGATTACTGCCCTAGCTGCTGCCAATATAGGGCACATCAGTCCTTTTTTCAACTCCTTTACCGACCCATGATGCAATGACAGGTGTGATGCAATCTCCATTGTCTTTTACATGGTTTTTCAGAGGTCACTCTGTGTTGGTATTCACAAAATTCTAAATGGCTTATGCAATGATAGCTGCACTTTTTGACCATGCTGTTGATTTATTAATGCAGGGTGGCTTCAGTCAGGACAATATACTGTATATTATGATACAGCCTACTGTAGTGGAATCAGACAGCATGTTTTGGGTGGTAGCAATATGAAAAAAAAGAAGGAAAAATAGCTTAATAGCTTTTACTTTGTTAGATCTAATATCTAAGATGTAGAAATCCGCCAAAATGGTGGATAATTGTTTAGCAGTGCCCCCATACAACGCAGCACTGAGATGTCTGGATCCAACTAGTACTGGATTCCTTGCGCACATCTGCACAGCAGCTTTTTATGGCCAAGTAGGAGGCCAACACTGCACCCACCATGCAAATTGATTAGTTCCAGAGCATAGTGAACTTTGCAGAAACAAATGCTGCACAGACCCTTGTCTTGAATACATCTATTCAACCAACAGTCTTAGCATGAACCACATCTATGCTCCATTATCCCATAGTCCTTTATTTGTAACCCAACTCCAAAGGGGGGAAGGCATGTTCTCCCTCTCTCTCACCAGGTGTATCAGAACTCCCTGCAATTGACAATAGAGAGCATAGTTGTGGTGATGTGTATATATTAAAAAGCATCATGGGTATCCATGGAGTCCAGATTTTAGTGTAGTTGTCAAAGTGATTGTTCAGCTGTGC